CTCTAACAAGACTCGCACACTGTCTCGGAGTCAATTCCAACTCATAGTCACCCTAAAGGACAGGGTAGCACTGGCTCTGTGGGTTTCCGAGACAGTAACTCTTCACGGTGTAGAAAGCCCCATCTTTCTCCTGTGTAACAGCTAGTGGCTTTGAACTACTGACCTTGTGTCAGTAGCCCGACATATAACTCATGATGCCACCAGGGTTCCTCTAACAAGACCAAGACACGTGCAATACGAAGAGAACATGTCTGCAGCCACCCACTGATCACAGAGATACACTCAGCACAACTGCATGCGTGAACAGAAACCCGACTGGTTGTACTCTTCTCTTTTTTTAACTGGAAATACTTTTGCATGTACCTTTGCCTTGTATAAGTGATAGTGCTTGCCCATCATCATTAGGCTCTTTCTGGGCCCCAAACCCTCTGATCACGCGATTGTTAGTGTGGAAGCCCCATCTTTTGGAGGCCAAGTGCCGAGGGCTCCTCCCAGTGAGTGTGCTCTGGGACAACCTACCGGGGTGGGAGAGCAAGAAGCAAATATGGGGAGTTTGGAGGTGGCAGATGGTTGTAGTGGGGCTGGGGCAGGAGTGAGACCTGTGGCCTCCCCCACCCCCAGTGCACTCCCTGGAAGAAGAATGCCTGCTGCTCTGCCAACACCAGCCAGGAGCTGCACAAGGACACTTCCCTCCTGTATAACTTCAACTGGGACCACTGCGGCCAGATGGAGGCCAAGTGCAAGCGCCACTTCATCCAAGACACCTGTCTGTACGAGTGCTCCCCCAACCTGGGGCCCTGGATCCGGCAGGTATGGGAGCACCCCACAAATCTGCACCAGGGCACTTGCCGGGAGAACTTGGTTGAAGGGGAGTAGAGGCACTGCCTTGGTCTCCGCCCCTGGGCCTCTTCAGTCTGTACCTGCAGCTTGACTCTTCCCTCTCCCCACCTGACCCAGGTGGACCAGAGCTGGCGCAAAGAGCGTTTCCTGGACGTGCCCTTGTGCAGAGAGGACTGTCAGAGCTGGTGGGAGGCCTGCCGTACCTCTTACACCTGCAAGGCCAACTGGCACAGCGGTTGGAACTGGACCTCGGGTGAGATCCTAGGTGTAAGGCAATGGAGGTCAGGTTCAGCAAAGGTGTTTGCTTTTCTTTAGGACTCGGGGCTGGGTGAGGATTTCTGGGGTGGTCAGACAAGAGCTGTCGGTCTGGCAGCTGAGTCTGGCGATCCTCTCTCCCGAGCAGGAGTTAACAAGTGCCCAGCTGGAACCACCTGCCGCACATTTGAGTTCTACTTCCCCACCCCTGCGGCCCTGTGTGAGGACATCTGGAGCCACTCCTACAAGGCCAGCAACCACGGCCGAGGGAGCGGCCGCTGCATGCAGATGTGGTTCGACCCAGCCCAGGGCAACCCCAATGAGGAGGTGGCCAAGTTCTATGCTGAGGCCATGGGGGCAGCTGCAGCCCCCTGGGCTCCGACCCGGGCTCTCCTGCTCAGCCCAGTCCTGCTGCTCTGGGTGTTAGGCTGATGGCCTGCTGGTACCCGCACAGCTCACAGCACAGGCCTGGCCTGGCCCCCGGCTCCCAGGGACTCCGTTTGTGCTCCGTAGCAGGGCCCTCTGAATGCCAGGTTAAATAAATAGTCAACCCCACCTGTGTCTCGTCTCGTGACTTATTCGTGGGGTGCTTCCAAGTGCCCATTGAATTATGGTCAGGTGCTATCGCCATGGTTCAGAAGGAAACCCTGCCCGCTCCTGGGCCGTCCTCACAAACCATTCCTCTGTCTGAGCCCACGGCTGTAGCCATGGCCTCAGTCATCTTGCTGAGGGTCTGCTCAGCGCTGTCCACTGTGAACTGGACCAGGTACTGGCTGCTCTTCCAACCTAGGGCCCAGGCAGAGCGCTGCCAGTCCTTTTTGACTGCAGCGCAAAACCGGAAGCAGGCCAAGACTTCTGCCAGTGCGATGGAGCCCAAGCCTGGCAGAGCTGCCTGCTCTTGCCCTCGGAATGGGGGTGCCGCATGCGCTGCACAGATAACTGGGAAGGCTAAGGGGGCCAGACAGAGCTGTTCCCCACCCACCGCGAAAATCCACGCAGTACTTCCTGGCAACACTGTTCTGGAGGCTTTGTCTGCACCCCTGTGAGGTGGAGGTACTGTCATTTCTCTGCCTGGATCTCTGGAAACAGAAACTGGCCAAAGTCCTAAGAGCTTGGGCTGCTCTCAGGCCATGCACTCGGGCTCTTGGCTGTAAACTCTTTCCCCTGTGGAGGGCGCAGCTGTGTCTTGGAGGCGTGCTGGGTCCCTGCAGGACCAGGGAGCTGGGCCGGGGCTGGTCTCTGGTGGAGCTGGGACTGGAAACCATTCCTAGACCCCTTGGGCAGGTATCAACTAAGGACTTGTGACAGGTATCAATTAAGGACTTGTAAGGGTTTTTTAAGGCACTGCTTCCATATTTAGTATAGTTTGTAGTAGTATAAATATGATACATTATGTTATAGTGATGTTTCTAGTATCTTTCTCTTTCTAGCCACAACATTTGAATGGTGTGTGTGTGTGTGTGTGTGTGTGTGTGTGTGTGTGTGTGTGTGTGTGGAGCAAGGATTCCACTTCTCAAGCTTGATTCCGGTTTAGGGCGG